TAGTAATCAATGACGTATCTCGCAAATTCTGGTCGTTGTGGGTTTAGAAGGGATGGAACGTACGGCCTGTGACGATACTCAATTGGGGTTTTGCTTTTTTCTAAGTTAAAACGGTACATGATAAATAAAAAGATGTTGACTGTTGTCTTCATTAAAGATTCCTTAGAACTTACTGAATTGCAGTAGAGACCTTTTTGTCTTTGATAAGATTTCTAAGTTTTCGGGAATATAGGATTGAAGTCGAAATTTTTTTCTAATATTTGTTTGCAATGGCACACATCAAGATCGTTGAAGTATGAACGAAAAAAAAATCTAATGAAAATATGCATTGGAGCATGCCTTTCTTCACGGATCACCGGTACATCGCAGACCTTGAATCCCACGCCAATCAAAAAAACAATCTGCACGTACGTGGCACATAATTTTCTTATGCCCAAACTTTTCAACTTCCTTAGGTCAACAAATCTTTCTGAAGTTGCCGACTTATCAAGATTTCGTAGGATTATGTCGATTTTCTCTATATAGTATTTCGCCACCTTATATGAGTCGCAGGCAACGCGAATCAATATTAAAAAAGTTGTCAGATATGTTGTGAGCGAAGGTGATCTGGAGAATATTGAAATCAGATAAAAGATAATGATCTTGAGAAGGAATTTCCTTTCTTTTTGGTTCTGGAATACCATGTTCAAGTCGATTGAAAAAAAAAAAAAAAAAGCAAGTTTTTAAGTAGGTGTGTGATTACGAGTTTAAAGAGATCGAAGGAATAAATAAAGTTTTAAAGTTTTCCTCGGGCGCATTTTTTTTTTTTTTTTTGAGCATGTTTGCCGTCCAATCGGAAAATTTTTCGATGAAACTTACGCACGCGTGGCTACTGATTCTTTGAGTTTACTGAATTAACAAACCTGGTAAATTGATCTTTACCATTCTTGGTCTAAAACAATGGCGCAGTTTGAGAACACTTGGCCAAAAAAGGGCATAGAGTGTAAGTTTGTTAAATCACCAAAAAAAAAAAAATGTCACGTGAAAAGATGTAGATAATCCCATTACGTAATGTTTTTTTGAATTTTTCAATCCCGGCGAACTTTTATCAGGAAAATAAAGGAATTATGGGTGTAACTTTGCATGAACCGTTCGAGATTGAACAAAAAACAGTAAACATTGAAAGTCAAAATCATTTGTTTAATGTTGGCATAACCATACCTATAGAGATTGAGGTGGAAAAACCGCCGGCGCTATCAGTTGGCAAGAATAAGAAGAATGGAAAATTTGTACAAAAGAATGGATGGAAACCAGAAAAATTGAATGAAAATGGAGAAAGCGATGAAGATAGCGGGGAGACGAGTGATAATGACGAGAGTCGTGACGAAGAGGAAAAGGATAGTGAATCGATGAAGGACGAAGAAGGTGATAATTCTTCTGACGACGAAGATGATGATGACAGGAATGACGAATTTGCAGAAAAGATTCTTGTTACATACCAAGGATTTGGCATCTCTTTATATAATGCAAGTATTTCTTCTAATTGTGAAAAGAACCGTGATTGATCGATCTGACTAAATTTATGCGTGATTCATCAGGCCGATGGGCGTCAGCTGTTGAATTGGCCGATTCCACCTCAGTACACCTTGGTCGCACCAGCAAAGTGTCTAATAAAAAATGGCAGATGCCTAGTATATGCTGTCATCCATAGTGGTGGCACGCAAGAAAACTCGGACAAAGTGGTCTGGTTGTGGCAAGACCTTCGTCCAACGTTTGGAGTAAAGGATTTTCGGGATAACGTTGAGAGTATCAAGAGGGTGTGTAGGTCGTTTCACAATTTATTATTAAATTTTGTGTTGGTCTCGAACCGATCCTTATTAATTGATTCTTATTATTTCATCTCGGCCGCTTTGAAAAGGTGGGAGAATTTGAGAGGCCAATATTTTCATTGGAAATATCACCACTACTGTCGGAAGCGGTTGTTCTGGTAAACCAGGATGGAACGGTTTCTCTGGTTGACACTAACCTGAAGCGAGTAATATCGCATTGTACTCTGAAAGATAAAGGGTACCCTTTTCTTCTTTTTTAAAGAACACTTTTTTTTTTTTTTTCGCAAACATCGGATAATTTATGTCGATATTTGTCATGTTTATAGAAACAAGAAAGTTTATTGGGCCACCTTGTTCAACACAAATGGCTCATTCATTCCTTCCAATATATTGCCGGCAACTTCAATAACAGTTTTAAATATTTTGTCATCAAAATCGGAATCCAGAGATGCTTCACCTCCGAATTTCTTTTTTCTAAGGCTTTGTTGGATCGATACCCAGACAAAAAAATGCAAAATACTTTGCAATACACATTTTCAAATGGTATCGCTTCCCTTTTTTCAATCATCAGTCTTTGCTTCGCTCGGCACGACATGAATTAATTATTTGTTTTCTCCCGCAGAACTTGCCTTCAACGTTTAATTTCAATCCCTCGACTGGCAAATTGTTTCTATTATGTAAAGTAATTATTAAGTATCTATTGCAAATTGCGTTGAAACTAGTCATCACGGTGGCTGATGTCATTTACATTACATAGTTTCTCACGGCGTGCTGAGAATATATACGGTCAACCTTAGCTGGAAGGAATCAGGAGCAAAGATATCTTTATCCGAAAATATCGTCATTCATCTGGGCGGAATCTTATCATTTCCTGAAAAGTCTCACCTGGCGCTTCATGAAAGGCACACCGTTGAAATTGCTCCGCTGATGGAATCCTATGTGGCAATTGTGGGAAGGCGAAAGACCCCTGAATCAGGTAACCCCTGTTTTACTATTATTATTATTATTATCATTATTATTATTAGAAGCGGTAGGATGGGTGAAATAATAATAATAATAATATTTTTTTTTGGAAATTTTAAGTCGAACAAGTTTTAACTGTATGGGATATCCAGTATGGGACGATGCAAGCCGATCGAGTGCTTAGTAAGTCGAGTTCAAGTAGACATGTCAATGCCACATCCACATTTCCCTATCGATTTCAGGCAAGTTTTCACATCTTGAGCAGAATGCTTCAACGCATTTTTCTAGAAGATGCTAACCAATCAATTTCATGGCTTACGTTAGCTTATTGTTGAACCCAAACATAATTTGATAGCGTCCTCATTCTGCGAGGTGACACCTGACAAAGTTAAATTGTCAAACTATCTTTGCCGTTACAATTGCGAACCGATGACTTTGTTGAGTGCGATAAATCGTATGAATCGTACGGCCGAGTATTTAGACTTGGGCAAAGGGAGCAATCGAGGAATCGGCATCACAAAATATGCGATACATCCCAATGCAGAGAGTGTATGCGTTTTACCTGTATCATCATCATTATCGACTCTGTTTACCAACCTCTACGTGTCTTACGTTCTTTATGCAGCCAAAAAATCCGGTCGCTGACGAACTAATTCAAGATATGAAACTTTTACGGAAGACGGAATCAAAATTTCTCCAAAAACTTTTAAATATCAGGAAAACTCCGACACCTCAAGAATTCACAAAAAGATTTATTAAATACGTGAAGACGAAAGGTCATAAAGATTTTCACTATTTTTTGTCGGAAAAAGTTGGCGTCAAGTATGAAGAATACGTGAAGTGCATGAAAGATTATGGGGAACACAAGAAGATTAGTATTCCCGAGGGGAAATCTAATCACATATGGAAAAGAGAAAGTAAAAGTGATTCCGAGGATCACGAAGAATTGATGAATTTGCAAGAATGGCGAGAATTGTGGAAGGAATGGGAGGCTGAGAAGGACGCGGCAAGAAAATCGGAATGCACTTTACGAAAGTTGTACGAATTCATCATCGTGGGTCTTGTTTTCTAACTTTTCATCCATTCGCGTGTGTTCTTTTCTTCCTTGCTAAATAATGAAATTTTCCCTTTTCACGCTTTTGGGTTTACTTATTCAGTCAAAAGAGAAGATAATCCCGGAGTTATCATATCATTTCGTTAAAACCATCGTTGAACATTGCATATCACAATATCCGGACGGTAAGCCCAATATGACGTTTTGGGCACCCGAGGTCATACGTTGCCTTATTCAAAAACACGCGATGTCAAATAGCGTCGTAAAAGGTGGAATCGTGAAGGCGTTGATAGATCGAGAAGAGTGGGTAAGCAAGCATATTGACTTGATCATTTGTACACACCGGAACTCCTGTCACCTCATGGATCCCAGGGTTTCACACTATTTTACCATCTACTAATTGATTATGTGCTATGTTGTAACAGAGCATGCTTAATGTGGCTCTCTTATATATTCCCGATATTCCTGAGAGAGATCTAATACATCTACTAAAGTTTGTAATTTCAAAAGGGGGAGTAAGAAAGAAGACGGTTAAGCCATCCGGGGAGATCAAGAAAGAAATACTGACTGTTGAGAAGGTTCTTTTGTTAATCATTCACGCACCGCGGAACGAAAACATGATGAGGTGGAATATACGTCAGTTGACGGAGAGCGAATTAATTGTGATATTGAAAATTTTGTGCGAATGGAGTGCGAGACATACTCTCACGGAGATAATAGCTGACACGATGAGCGAAAAACCGGTTGACGTTGACGATTTCAAAAATCCCAAAAATCCATCATCGTCAGTCAATAAATTTAAAAAGCTCAAAAAAAAAAGGATAGAATTTCGTAGTGTAAGAAAGAGTCCATTCATTGATCCAAAAAAAATATATAAATATATATATATATACTTTGAACTCTAATCATAATCATTTCTGTTGCTTTTTTTTAAATATAGATCATCGAATTCCTGACACTCATCCTGGACATACATTTCGCATCATTCATCATGAACAAACAGTTTCATTCACTTCTTGGCAAATTATCTGATCGTATAAATCATGAGGTGGAAATTTTTGAATCCATGGAATCCATGAGATCATGCCTCGAACTTTATCACAAAAGACACCTAAAGAACGTGCGTCCAATAAAGAAGGAACAATTTGGCAAGAGATCGAGTGTTCTTTCGAGCGATGCTGATCTTCCGGAGTATACCGTGGAGCTGTTTACATTTTTTGGTGACAACCACCGAAATCCAAGATTGGAAGAAATCGATATGATAGATGAAAGTGTGATCGGAAACGGTGTTTCGATTTCCGATTCTGTTTATGCGATAAATGGGGAAATGTATCACGGGGACGTGGACGTCGAAGATGAAAGCATAGTGTTTGAAAATGGCGAAATCCCAAGCTAGCCGCGGTGGTGGCGGGGTTTGGGATTGGAACGTGAATCTCTTTAAAAAAAAAAAAAAAAAAAAAAAAGGGTCGTTTCTTAACATGAAAATGACCTTACACCTCAAAAACCGTGCGAATTGAATTGGTTTGCATGCTTTATCCAATTAATTTATGCATTTGAGAGATATTCTTATACAATAAAAAAATTTTTTTTACTAAAAGATCTTTTTTAAAGAATATATACAGTATATAATTTAAAAATTCATGTTGCTTCTGCTTCCACAATGACAATAATACTGCATAATATACACACATAATAATGATTGTTGGAATTGTTAGTATACAGTATATCAGATACCAAGGTGTTAGGTGTTGATAAAATCATGATTGATAATGTCAAAAAAAACAAAACACTTGATCCATAATCCAATTTATTTAGTTGATATAAAAAAGTTTATTGTAAAATAATAATAATAATAATAATCAAATTTCACAAAAAGTTCATCTCGGTTAAAAGAATTTAGTCCCATTGACTACACGTGATATATAAGAAAATATAGAAATGTTAAGACTAGGTTATAAAGTGATAGATAGTATATAGTATGAAAAAAATAAAATAAAATGGGTATCCCCATAGAGAAGTACTAAAACTACATCGCAAATGAAATTGGAATAAGAGATGAGTAATTGTACACAGCAGAACGTTTTTTACTTAATTAATCCTTATAAGGTAGCTCAGTAAAGCATCGGTGAATTGCGTAAATCATACCCGACGACTAACTGCCACACACAGCGTGTGGCAAAGTCGTCCCGGTATAACTTACGCAACTCACCGCTACTGTATCAAGGTAGATTACAGAATAAACTATAGTAAAAAACGCAGAGTTGTGAACTCATTGACTCCCATTACAATCAATAAATTCATCAAAAAGTTTATATTCTTGACTCGGTGTAGTAAGCACCGTATTGTCATCGATTTCTTGTGAGTATGTAATCGTAGGAGTTATATTGTTGTCTGTAGTTTGATGCCACATATCGTGTAGAATCCCATTATTTTCGTTAATGTCCATCGGTTTTTCTATGTTCTCCACCGAAAGAAATTGCTCCTGGATATATGGTGAATTATTATATGTTATTTGGTTGTAAAGGTCGTAAGGGTCGTAAAACCCCTCCTGGTGATATGGTAAATATGTTGATTCGTCGTAAATCTCAATGTTTTGCTCCTCGTGATATGTTGATGGGTCGTAAATCTCCATGTTTTGCTCATGGTGATATGATGAATTTAATGTTGTTGGGTCATAAACCCCCATGTTTTGATCCTCGTTAAATATTGTTATTTGGTAAAGTCCTGATAAATCATCTTCAGTGGAAATTCCTGCGCTGGGAACAGCGAAAACTGAAGATTGATCTGGGAAGAAAGGTAAATTAATTGATTGTTCGGACTCTCCGGAATCCATAATAAAATTATTTGTAGATAGGGTGTCCTCCGGTTCGAGGTTTTGGTCTGATGTCGGTGACATTTGAGTTGAAGAAGAATCTTCGGGACTTGATAATAGTTCAGGGCTTGAAAGGCTTGATTTTTTTTTGCAGGGTTTAAATTTATAGTCCGGATATTGTACTTTATGATACAATTCGGCCAATTTTGATATCTCCTCGAAGAGAGCTGAGACTTGCGAGCCTTTTAAATTCATCCACTCGGTGGCCGCGTCTTTGGACACGGCTTCTATATTCGTAGCTTCTTTTTTCTGTCGGAGACCTTCCTCATAATTCTTTCTGAAAATCATGAATTTATTTAATGGTCTGGAGGGGTGTTCTTTCTTTTTTTTAAGGTAGTTTTTCGTTCGTCGGGAACTAGATGACGTCTTAATTAATTCGTCAAGATTATAAATTTTGTAGCCAATTCTCTCTATTTCTTTTAAAACTTTTTCGTATTGTCTCTGAAGCGCTTTCTTCCGAGATGTACGGGAATCAGAAGTTTGATAGGTTTCATTTGTTACAACCGAAAAATGATAATGCATCATATTCTTTGAAAATTTCGTGAGTGTTATTAGAGTGGAAAAAAAAAAAGCCTCAGCTCTGTTTTCCAATGTAAATTGAAAAGACAACATATAAATACCATCATAGAATTTTTCCGGTGAAACATCACATCAGCTTGTGACTGAAGCAAAATTCATTTGATACACTTCTGCTTTAGTTTTTTTATGCAGTCGTGCTGCGTGATTTCCACTTGCGGAAATAAAAGCAAGTTACACCGACATTCGGAATGGAAACACTCGACCAAGCTAAATCTAAATCCGTAACGTCTGTACGCCTTCTCAAAATTTATACGCGACAAATGATTTAACGAAAAGTGAGTACGTATGTGCATACGTAAGATTTTATTAGGCTTTTTAAAAAAGAGTAAACACACGTAACACGTATTTTATGTGTGAAAAACAATTGTATAAAAAAATTAGACTATAAAAGTGCGGCTTTGTGAAAACTTTGTACTTTCTGCATTCTTTTTCAAATCCTGTAAGAAACAAGTGTGAAGAAGAAGAGTGACGTAAAATGATAAACTGATATTCAAGTATATCTCATTCTGCTGACCACTGAATAACGGGTTTAGTATCCAATAGCATTTTTTGTTTACTTCTCTTTGAGATAGTTTAGTTATTTTAAAGTAGAATCGCGAATCCGCATAAATTTGCATGCACATTAAAGAATCAACTATTCGTACGGTATGTGGGCATCGATCATATAATAAAAATTTGATAAAATTTGATGGAATCTTTCTTTGTAACATGCAGTAAACATTAAAACGCGATGGAATTCGGGGATATCGTAACATTAGGATTCGATGAAGAGAGAGTGAGAGTGAGAGAAAGCAAAAAAAATCAATAAATTTCAGTTCTAAAAAAATAAATTGAACACGGAATGATTTCGATGGCGTAATCAATGAATGAATGAATGATATGCGAGAAAAATAAAATAAAAATAAAATAATGAAAATAATGTCGCTTATGGGCACAATGAGTTTAAAAAAATTTATGCATCGAGAGATACATATACAGTATACAGTAGAAAAAAAAACAAGTACTGTATTGTATACTGTATATAAAAAAAAGAATGAAAAAAACATATGAAAAGAAAAAAAAACATAATACTGTAAATGATAAATTAATTACTTAAAATGAATAGGGACATTAAATAAATTCCTTGCCATTTTTATATGGGAACATTCATTTTTTTTTTTTTATATGACCAATTGGAGTATGGGAAAATTGTTTAATATGCAAATGGAAATATCTTAACGTTGGAATTTTCTCCCCCCCATATTATTGAAGTTTACAAAAAAGGCGATAGGTATAATTAATTTATCGTGATGACGTTTTTCCGATATGTACTGAATATACTATCAAAAAAACAAAATTGCTCTTTTCCCTTTTTACACTTTTTAAATTATCGCAGTCATGCAAAACGACGATGAATACGAATGGACGAACAACAAAAGAAGGGAATCTTCTGAGGACGTTGAAACGCCAACAGGTACGCATGTGCTCTTGGAAAATTCGGTGCCATTACAAAACGAATTTAACTAACTAACATTCTTTCTTCGTTTTCCTTATGAAAGAGGCTACAAAGAATGCGGCCAGGCTTGCTCCTTCGGTGTATGGCGAGGATGAAAATAGTTTCAACAAGGCTCCTCTAAGTCATATCTTTTTCGAACCCATCGCAAAAGAAAAGTATAAAATGTCGGAAACCGATCACGATTTTTGCCTTCTGTTTCGACCAACTCCACGTCAATTCTCGATCTGTATCAATAGAATGAGGGATGAAGTGGTGATTCCGCTTGATCAGATAATAAGTTGTAAATTCATTGATCCGAGGAATATTGCGTTAAAGCTAAAACCGGGTTATACGCGAGCGGTTGGTATTCATCGCATATTCTCCACGCATTCATTTATCAACCTTGCTCATTCATTCGTTCACCATTCACCATTCACCATTTATCAGTACTATTCGCATGTCAAAGGGTTCCCTTATAAGAATGAACCTCTGTTGCGAAACAGCGATCCGTCAAATGGCTTGCTCTCGGAAACTAATGATATTATTCTGAGAGCCTATGGTGGAAAGGCTTTTGAATTTCTTTTGAATCAAAGTTTTGTTATCCGAGAAGTGATAGACAAAGGAAGAACCAGTCAATCGCAAGGTGACGGTAATGCAAAGGTAGGTTTGCTGCAATCAATGTTATTTTTGTACAATCCTCAAATTTTCGAAATTTTAGGCATTCCAGCCAAATGTAAACAACTCTCATTCGACACCCGTTAATGATCAAGGCTCTCGCTTTGAAATTCCGATCGAAGACAAGGGTAGATAATATATCAATTTTTATCAAGAGAAATGTCATTGGAAATGGTTGATTGGTTGATACCTCAATTTTTAAAAAAAAAAATAGATCTCACGAACGTTCGCGTGCCACCAAATCTGGTAACGCCACCCTATCCGTCACAAGTGTCAAAGAATACAACATTGCAATCCTCAAATCTCCAAAGTTTTTCCGGTTCAAAAACTCCACGGAATTTTATCAATTCAGCAAAGCCGTCAGTCTCCCAAAGTACGAAAAATGTTCAATTGCCACCTTCTAATTCTGTATACCAGTTGAACCACGTGCCAAAGACAAATTCATTTCAAAACTCGCATCACGAAGAGGTAATATCCTTGAGAATTCATGCCTCACAGTAAAAAAAAGAATACACTGCACATACATGATACTCAAGTTCTCTGCAAAAAATCCAGCTTTACATCACATGCACTTTTCCTACTGAAAGGCGTGCGATCCTATATTCCATTGAGGGTTCATACTTTCATCTTTGTTTTCGCATCAGAGAGAAATTTAAAAAATCATGGGATAAAGCATGGTATAAGTCTAAAGAAAAAAGTGGTGACTGGTTACCCCTGGAAGACGAAAATGACTGGAAAATGGCCAAGTTAACGAGAAAAAAAATCAAAGGGTATATTAGAATCGAAATTTATTTGAGATGACCGACTCAAGTTTACCCGAGATGAGCATGGACATTATCTTTGATCAAGTGGCATACCTCCCATCCCTGTAAAATACGGTATTCGGATATTTATTATTCTATTCTAATAATGAATCAAGGGGGATATTGAATGTACCAGTGTACCATAAAAACATTGGACTGCAAACATTTACATTTGCACCGTGCATCATGTCCTTGCTCGTTATTACAATTAAAATGTACTATATCATGATAATTAATGCTTTTTGTTCATGAAATCAAAATGACTAAACTTGCCTTGATACTTCGAATTAAGATCTTTTTTTTTATAATTCATGTGAGAATTGAATTAAATATAAAGTTGCTGAATAAGCTGAGATGCTTGATTCAATATTCAATTTGTGAAAATTAACGTTTAATAGTATTCACAAAAAAAACGTCATTTAACCTTTACAATTAATTCATTTTACACTTTGACACGTTCTAACGAATTAGTCACGAGATACATTTTTTTTATTTCTTCTCGATAAATAATGATACATTATTTCTAATTCATTCATTCATCCGCAAACCAATGTCACCTTAAGATTCGACATTTTCAAGTACCTAGCATAATGTAGTTCTCTGACCAATTTCGTGACTCGAGATCCCGCTTGGCATTTTGCCGTTTCTTCCGGTGATGAATTCTTTATATCTATGAACAATGTAACAAGTTATAATTGCAGAGTCGAAATCATTGTTAATCCACACAAATGAAATAGGAAAAGAAATACATTGCATCCAATCTTAAATATTCTTCAGGAGTTGTTGAAGGACGGGTGATCTTCAGTGATTTTTGCATGTGAACATCGTTTATTACTGCCTGTGTGTGTGTTGGTTTTTTCAAGTTTAACGGTCAGTCACAACATAAATAAACATATTTAAAATATATAGCGAAAAAAATACCTTGGACTTGGTCTGCACATTATCTTGACCTCCTTCTTTCACCTTGACAAACTTTTTTGGAAAGGATGCCTTCTTGACAAGTGCAAGCTAAAATGGAAACATGAATAAATAAACCTACAATAGAAAACCAATAAACTATATGCCACTGAGATAATCACCCTTTTTATTATTTGGGTTTTCTCCGCGGCCGTAAAGGTTGTGACTTTCTTTGATGAATTCATATTGAAGGACGTGAATTGCAATTCAATATTCTCAGAGTTGGTTGTCCTCTTCTCGGAGGACTTTTCGGCATCAATTGTTTCATGAATCGCTTCAAGGTGTGCATTATATAATAATGACTGCAGATCAGCGCCAGAGTATCCTTGACATTTTTCTGCATAGAAGCTTAGTTTGACGTCTTCGCCAAGGTCCACTTTTCGCGAAAGAGCTTTCAATATCTATAATTTATAATTTTACAAAAGAATAATTGAAATATTGTTGAACGACAGATTCGATTAAAAATGCAAAAATAACTGACCTCGAGTCTTTCATTGTAATTGGGCATATTGCAGAATAATGACTTGTCCAAACGTCCGGGTCTCAGTAATGCCGGGTCTATAAGATCTGGTCGACTGTTTAAAACATTCCGCATTAGTCAACAGATAATTTTTTAAAAAACAATTCAACACATTTATCCTCGTGTAAATCGGTGTTACCTTGTAGCAGCAAGAACATAAACTCCTTCAAGACCTTCGGCACCATCCATTTGAGTCAACATTTGATTGACTACTCTGTCAGTCACGCCAGTGCTGTCATGCCCTCTAAGGTATGCCAAAAAGAATGTTCATTATTATTAGTAAACTTCAATATTCGTTGAGTTCGCGCGACACGATCATTACCTCTTGGGAGCAATAGAATCAAATTCATCAAAAAATAATATACAAGGCTTGGCGGCTTGCGCGCGCTCGAAGAGATCCCGCACCTATGTGTGACGAAATATATTTTATATATTTTTTTTTAGGTGTCTATGCAGATAGTTCCATCGATACAATGAGAATAGATGACAAAATATTTACTGATGCTTCACTGGCGCCAATATATTTGTTCAAAAGTTCTGGACCTTTGACGCTGATAAAGTTTAATCCACACTCTTTTGCAACCGCTGAAGCAAGTAATGTTTTTCCACAGCCAGGAAAACCATATAGCAGAAGCCTACAAAATGATTCTTTATGGATTTGTTCCAAATTATGTACTGGTCATAACAAAGATGCTTACCCCGATCGTAATCGGAGGGGGCAATTGGCAAAGATGGATGCATATTTCGTGGGCCATTCCAAAGTTTCCAACAATACTCTCCGAGTTTCTTCAAGACCTGAAGAAATGATTTGCACACGAGAAAACTGGTAAAACTTTATATCTGCGACGGAACCTATCAATAATCCATTTTACCTCCTATGTCAGTCCAACTAACGTCCGAAGTTTGTAATTTGACATCTCTCAGTGAGAAAGGTACGAAATCTTTTTGGGCTCGACGAAAATCTTCTTGCGTTAAAAAGAGTTCGGATCCATCAGCTTCACTCTGCAGTTGCCTGGTCGCTCCCTCGTGTGTCGCCCGTTCTACAAGCGCCTTGAGATCGGCAGCTAGATAACCTTCACATTCACTCGCGATTAAAAGCATATCGATATTTGGCACACTCCTCTGGGTCAATTCTGGTCCAGAAGACATAATCGCTTTTAATATCTGTAAACATAAAATAGTGAAAGTCAAAGTTTTAGCAACCGTTCGAATCACTCGATTATAATCAAATGTTAAATTTACATCTCGTCTCTCCGCTTTTGTTGGTGGGTTCAGCTGTGCAATCTCGCTAAACAAATGACTCGTGATGAGTAACGAGTGAACTGAAGTCCGTTGTCTCGCTGTAGCTAAAATGGTTATGCGGTGCCTTTTGATCATTTTTGACGCGATTTGGAAAAAGCACTCTGACAATTGTCGGAACCTGAAGGAATCTACGTGCTATAAAATTCGAACCGTACAAAAAAAAGCCATTTATTGTGGTTCTCGAATCTGTTGAAAAATGATGCAGACCAAAACCTACCTCCACCTCAGCTGGGATTAGTCTATCAAGGTCGTCAAACAACAATATGCTCGGAGCATGCCAAGCTGCGTCATCGAAATATTGCTGTAATTTATCCCTTACAGATGATATTCGATCTTCCGATAATTCAGTACACTTGATAACCGAGCAATCTAGAAAGTTCAAATAAATTTAATAAAAACCTTTTTTATCGTGGCACGGCAAATCAACAAGATGAACTCACAAGCCAAAGTATTTAAATCATATTGCAAATTCGATGCAACGGTTTTTGCAATACAGGTTTTGCCAGATCCATGACCTCCGCACAATAACAATCCACCCAAACCTATTTAATTAGAGGTCAGGTCAAATTTTTCTAAACGATCTTGTGATACTTCAAATTGAATTGTCAAACAAAATTATTGAACCTGGGACATTCAGAGAATTCCGCAAAGAGACCTTCCCTATGCAATATCTTAGGTATCCCTGCAACCTTTGTGTCAACTTTTCGACACCAGCAAGTAACGGCAGATTTCCTACGGAAGGCCTACAAGTGTTTGTAAACTTTATGAACCACGAAAAAGACAGGAAATCAAACTTTTAATTGAGTGAAAGCGAATGTCTTACTGTTTCATGAGTTTATGATCCGGTATCGAAACATTTTCGCCTATTTCAATTTTAGCATCCAATAGTTGACTCTTCGTCAATATTGCAAATTCGTCTGAGGAGTCGATTGCCCCGTGACGAGTGTCATTCTGATTTCCATTTTCATTCCCACCGAACGACACTATGACATTCACTTCGTCAGGCTTTAAAGATAATTTCATTCCATTCGTCAAAACCACTTCCGAGGAGTTTGATAATTCTTCAATCCAGGCTTATTGGTACATGTAAAATTATGATTAGCGATTTACTAAGAAAATTGAGAGCATAAAATCGCAAAATCAAGGAATCACCTTTGAAAGAAGTCATCAAAGCATTTGGAAATGAAGATTTCTCTAATGCATCTGCTGAACTAACGAGAAATGAATGTAGGAAATCCCAGGAAGAACGTGATTTTTACGTACTTGACTTTTCACACCTTCACGAACCTGGCTCCATTATTATGCTTCAAGGAAGTGGATTGGAAAGGGCTTGATATGAAGTGAATCATTATATTAAACACTTGGGAAGGGTTTGATTGTGGAGTCGACAATCTGTTGAAAGATCGGTTACACTATATCAACTCTGGGTCTACATTTTTGCAAATTTTTTGTTGCTCGAAATGCAATTTAATGAAATTTTACCGAATGACGTCAAATTTTTCAGCATCCAAAGAATCCATTATGAAACCACCAAGCACTACATGTCCCGGAATTACATTCGGATTCACCGAAACTTTGACATAAAGTGCAGGTGATGCATTGTTTTTATCCCCATTTTCGGATTTCTCTTCTGCCTCTTTGTGTCTATGCGGAGAGGATACCTTCGATATCCGTGCAACCTTTGAATTTGACAGTCTGGCATTTGAAAAATCCACAGGGTGAACGTATACGGAACAAAAATAATTCGTGTCTGACTGAAATAAGTCAACAGAAAGAAATTCGGCTGGTAGTAGGCGCAGGCAATATGCTTGAGATTTGAATGCACCGTTAGACATGATGTCTTTCGTTTCAGAAGATTTGTGAACGCCATTTATTGTTTTTCTTGGCTTCGGCGCGACGATTATTTCCGAATTCTCGCCCAACTTTGCAAAATCACTCTTTGGGTGTATTTCCACTATGTTACATATGAATATAATTCAGTCAAAGACAAGTACATAAGTGTTGTGAGTCCACAGACGAAAATCACCTATTTTTAACCGCGTTAAGTTTGAATTAATCCAGAGAATGACTATTTCGTTAGGATAGACAACGCGCTGTTGCTCAATGAAATGGTTTTCCAAGTAATCCGCTCGACGTTCCTGTCCAACGAAAATTCAATTTAGATACGCGACAAAGTTTAACGATCCATACTTAATTATAACGTACCACAATCTCCCAGTCATCTACGCTACACGGTTCAACACTCACAGTTTTAGCTTCGGGTACCATATTGTGTAACCTCATTGATATCTACTCAATGATGGGTGGGTTGAATTCAACGGACTTAAGGGAATAAAAGGTATTACTTTAAGCGTAAATTCACCTTCTGGCCATCATGTAGGTTAATAGCTTTCCCGAACTGAGGGTCAATCTCGATGGTATCCGATCTATTGGTAGAACTTCCCGACCATCCAACGTATGCTTTACATAAGCTAGAGTTATCGTCATTCCACGATAATTCCAGAATAACATCTTGTGGCAACTGGTTATATAAAAAAATGAGATTTTTTACGATATTGTTGATTCCCCAAAATTTGATCGATGAAATACCTGATCCTTTTTGTAGAGCAATTCAGAAATCGAGAAAGGTAAATTAACGAAACAATTCGAAAATGATACAAAAGATACGAAGAAGTTTTTAGCCATTTTTTTGAAGATTCGGATCGATAAACTTATAAATTTATAATGTACTTAATGGATAATTTCGGATGATTGGGTTTATGATTGGTCGTTGGATATGCATGCTTCCATAAAAAGAATTTCAAAGGAACGCTTATATTTTCTACAAATTGTCTAATGGTGAAACGAGAAGAATCATTGTCTTAGTGATCAAACATTAGCAATCATTCTTGAGCTCGTTGGATATAAAATCCAGATTTGCCCCATTCGGAGAAATTTCAATCGTATTGTATTAGTTTTCGGTTTGTAGTAATTTTTTATATACTGTAAATCATAAAAAAAAACAATTATTGTATATTACATATGACTTTCTTATTATTAGAAGTATAAAATTATATTGCCAACTTTCCACCAATCCTTTAATTACCTTTTTTTAAAAAAAGCATTTTTAATAAATCTTTTTTCATTTTCTTATCATTTTAAAAAACCTTTTATTAAAAGAATTTAAAAATTTTAAAACAAAAAAATCAAATAATAATCGAATACACGTATGCGCGTATTAAAATCCTTAACAAATTTTTTATATATAAGTGTTTTTATAATAAATATTTATTTATTATTAACATTCTTTATTATAATATATATATTAGTTAGATGATTTTTTATACAAATTTTTATATAAAAATTATTTTTTGTTTATTTATAAACTTTAAATATATTTTATTTTTAATTTAATTTAATATCTTTCAAACTCATAATGTTTATTTAAAAATAAGTAACGTTTTTACAGTAAAATATTGAATTTTAAAATTAATATAAATTCTTTTTACGAAATCAAAATTTAAAATTTTATTTGTTTCTCAGTAAACTTTATAAGTTTAAGACATTAAATTAAAAATAAAAAAATATATTTAAAGTTTTAAGTAAATAAAAAATAATTTTGGTTTTAAAGTTTATATTACATTATTATAATAAAAAATTTGCTTAATTAAGATAATAATTAATTATAAATTTTACTATAGGTTTAAATTATATTAATAAATTTAAAAAAAAATATTATAAATAGATTTGAATTTTAAATTTTTTATTTATTATAAATAATAATTATAATCTTTAAATCTAATTTTTAAACAAAAAAATAAAAAAAAACTCTTTCTCACTCCCCCTTCTGCACTTGAAAATTTCCTTTTTAGGAAATTTTTGAGTTGTTTATTTTTTTCTTCGCTCTTTCCCTTTCCCTCTCCCTTACTTCCCCTTTCCCATATCCTTTTATTTTCTCCTTTCTATTTCTTACCCTCTCTTCTATAAACTTCTTTATATAAAGCTTACCCCTTCTCTTTTGTTTTCCCCTTTCCTGCCGAAGTTAGGTTTTTCCTTCTTTCTGAAGGTTTTCTTTCTAGGTCTCTCTTTCTTTTATAAAAACTTGCTCTCCATAACATCAATCCCCTGGCCAGTCGGCTCCTTTTTCTCAAGACCATAAGCAGAAGTGATAACTTCTCTTAAAACGTGAGCTTCAGAATTTTCTCTCTTCCATGGCCTCACAGAAAAAGGACAGATGATTTACCCCCTCCAAAAGATCGACATGGTCATCATTACCAAATCCGGTGTTGTTTACTTGTTGATGGTTAAACTAGATACATC